ACATACTTGGGAGTACAAATTACCAATGACTCCTCTGAACTGATGGAGCGTAATTTTATGCCTCTATTCTAATCCACTAGTAAAACATTAAAAGAATGGAATAATAAAGAGTTCTGATGGGGAGGAAGAATCAATATTATAAAGTCGTACATCATTCCCAAGTGGCTCAATCTCTTCAGACTGGTTCCAATATACTGCCCAGAGAGTTGACTAAAACTGGCACAATCTGCTGTATGTTTTGGGTCATTGTCCAGCTGGAATCTAAAAGTTGGACCAGTCTGAGTTCATGAGGATTCTGGACCAGGTTTTCATTAAGAATATATCTGTATTTTGCATTCAGCTTTCTTGCATGTCTGAATAGTATCCCAGTCCCTGCCACTGAAAAACAGTCTCAAACCCTGATGCTATAATCACCATGCTTCATCATTGAGATGGTATTGTGTAGGTGATGAGCGGTGCCTGGTTTCCTCCACACACGATGCTTTAAATTGAGGCTTAAAAGTTAATTCTATGTTTCATCAGATTAGAGTATCATGTTTCTCTAAGCCTGAGTGTCCTTTTGCTGATTTTTTGCCTTTTTAGTTGGGCTTTCCTGTGAAAAGAGACGTCTTTCTGGCCAGTCTACCATAATGTGTAAGTGATCATGAGTGCCTGGGCTACATTTATTGTTTTACCATTGGAGTGGGGGTGAGCCAGCCCCAAGTCTAGATGCACCAGGACCAGATAAGAGTGCGGATTCCTCCTTTTGTTAGATCAAAAAATATTCTACAACTTGGCATTTTTTCAGCTTGTATTTCACATTCTGCTATTGTTGCTCAAAAATGCAGTTCCAGGTTTAGTAAATAAATCTCTCAGTATATTTACATATTACACCAGACACAATGAAAAGGAATAAAACAATATAATAGTTTAAATTAACCATATGTTTATTTTTGGAAGAAATGTTTTGACAGTCATAGACAGCAGTACATCTGATTTCACCACTAGGTGGCTCTCTTCACATAGCAATATACTTAAAGGTAGTAATTTTTGGAGATACGTTTACCTGTCTGTGTCTAATAATGTGTATTAATAATGTGTATTATTTAGCAAATACTTTTTTTCAGAGTTCACCACAATAGGGGTTATTTCACCTATAGGGTTACTCACTAAACTCTGAATTGTTGACTAATCGACTTCCATATCTTCAACAGATGAGTCTTGTGTGCCGGGATGGTTGACGTCCATTGATTTAATTGGCCGGCTTTCAACATGTATTTCTGACAGTTTTTTAACCAGCTCCTCTAGTGTTATTCTGGCAGAACTGAAATCTCTATCTGCGACCCGTTGTCTTTTGGGCTGGAAACCGTCCTCATCTTCAGCTTGACCTTCAATAACAATTACAACGATTTATAGTGCTGACATATTCTGCAGCGCAGTACAATAGGTAAAAAAAAAGACAAACAATTGTAACAAAATGCATTTGACAAACGGAAACAGTAGGTGAAAAGGAAACAAATTAGCTTACCTTCCGAGCATCTTTTGCGTTTACAACTGCGAAACACTGGGCTTTCATTGGCCTTACTTTGTCCAGCTTCCCCTCTGCTCCTTTTAACTTCAGGACAATGACCATCCTTGGTGCCATCCCCTCTAATCTGTTGGGATCTCCCAAACTGAGACTGACAATTTTGGGGATAGTTGAAGTCCGTTGATTTAACTGGCAGACTTTGAGTAGGTAGGTCGTATTCTGTCAGTTTTTTATCCAGCTCCTCTAGTGTCATTCTGGGAGGACTGTATTCCATATCTGCATTCCGTTTTCTTTTATTATCGGAAACGTCCCCATCTTTGGCTTCGGCTTGACCTTAAATAACAATTACAATGATTTATATAGTGCTGACATATTCTGCAGCGCAGTACAACAGGTAAAAAAAAACATCAACAATTCTAACAAAACACGTTTCACGAACGGAAACAGTAGGTGAGGAGGAAAAAATTAGCTTACCTTCCCAGAATCTTTTGCGTTTGCGGCTGCGAAACACTGGGCTTTCATTGGCCTTTGTTTGGCTAGGTTCCCCTCTGCCCATTTTAACGTTGAGCGAAGGACTATCCTTGGTGCTATCCCGTTTAAACTGTTGAGATCTCTCAAACTGCATGCCATCCTTGGGCATCTGCCGGGCATGGTGAACATTTTGCATCTTACTCTTCTCTTGCTTTCTTCCCACCTCTCCTCCACACTGGGAGTGACAATTTTGGGGATAGTTGAAGTCCATTGATTTAGCTGGCAGAGTTTGAGTAGGTAGGTCATATTCTGCCAGTTTTTTATCCAGCTCTTCTAGTGTCATTTTGGGAGCACTGTACTCCATATCTGCACCCTGTTTTCTTTTGTGATGGAAACCGTCCCCATCTTTGGCTTCGGCTTGACCTTAAATAACAATTACAATGATTTATATAGTGCTGACATATTCTGCAGCGCAGTACAATAGGTAAAACAAAGGACAAGCAATTTTAACAAAACACATGTGACAAACAGAAACAGTAGGTGAAGAGGAAAAAATGAGCTTACCTTCCCAGCATCTTTTGCTTTTACCAATGCGAAACATGGGGCTTTCATTGACCTTAGTTTGGCCAGGGTCCCCTCTGCCCCTTTTAACTTCATGCCAATGACCATTCCTGGTGCTATCCCGTCTAAACTGTTGGGATCTCTCAAACTGCGTGCCATCTTTGGGCATCTGCCCGGCATCGTAAACATTCTGCATCTTTCTCTTCTCTTGCCTTCTTCCCACCTCTCCTCCACATTGGGACTGACAATTTTGGGGATTACGCCTCTCTGATCCATCCATTATATCTTGCATACAACGTCTTTTTTCCATGTTCTGGTCAAATCGACGGTTTTTAGCTAGATGTTGATGGATCTGGCGTGAAGAATCCCGGAAGTTGAGCTCTTCCCGTGGTTGGTCTTTCACTCCATAACTAAAGCTCCTGTTTTTGGGGCGCTTCCTCTCGCGCTCCATCTCAAATTTCAACATCGGCTGTAAAGCCCTTTCAATGTAGCTATGATATTATCTTTTTTGTCTTTTCCACAATTTGTGCGATCAAAAACTTTTGCAACCTGCTGCAAGGATATACAACAGTGATATGACCTATCTGTTGCCTTTCACCACTGATGGTTTACGTGTTATGACATCACAGATACTTTATGCAAATCAATTAAACAATAAAGTTCAAGAACATACAATTACCAGTAGGACTTTATCAATAATAAAGGACCTGAAGAAAGTTTTAAATACAGCATTTTTATTATGTCTATTAAGAAATATTTTTACAAGTTACAAATTAAACTATATATATATATTCAACGAATGTATGTTTACATAATCAAAAAACAAATGTTTCACAATAAACAGGTCTTTATATTTTATTACTATTGTTAATGGCCCATAAGTCTAATCTATCACACAACTGCGTTAATAAGTAGTAATTAAAAACAATTATAAATGGAATATCTATGAAAAAAAATATTTTTTCATATTTATATACAAAAATATAAGAATTTAATTTAAAAATCAATACAAATTTATAAAAGATTGGTGTTTTATACCTTTTATCTTGACTTGAGTAGTAGAACCAAGTAAAATAAATCACAACATGAACATTAACTTTCCACTTAAGAAAAACATTTAACGCTTATATTCCTTTTAGAAATCTTTTTCCCATATTTCCCAATAGTAAGATTGTCGCTCAATTGAGAAGGCTGTCTAATGGCCAATTCATAACTTTTATTCCCCAGAATAGAATTGAGATCTTCTTTAACTGATGGAATGACAGGTGACCTCCAGTGTCCGGAGACAACTGTAATGGCAGCAATGACAATATGTCCAATAATGATCTTATCTATTTTTTCAAGTGAACTTGGGAAAAAATTTTTTTTTTTTATTCTTTATTTGTGAGTGCATAGAGAAAAAACGGTTACAAATGCATTTGACATGCCCCAACAGCATGTGCTCACTATTTAACAGTTAACATCGGTAAACTGAGGCATGGCATGGGAAAACAATGCACATTTTTATATATTATGACATGAAGGCTAGTTGTGACTATAAATGGTTATGAGTTAAGAAAAGTAAATGTAAATAACGACTTAATATGTAAGTGGTTAGCATGATACACAGATTATACCTGTTTGATTTGATTTTATGTATAGTGAGATGCCTGTCAGGTACAGCTGTGTTAAACTATAGGCTGTCATATACAAGAAAATCTTAGGAGGATAATCCCTTAAGGACCAGACTTCCGTAGTAAAAGGGACCCATGACATGTCACACACGCCATGTGTCCCCAAGGGGCTACACAAGGTAAAACAGTGTTTCTACCATGTCTACATGTTAGTTGCATCGCTTAATGTAAGATTGCTATGTCTGTACAAATATGGAGAACAAAGAATAAAAAGGTTCTGGTAATGGCCAGCGGTTGTACTTTAACTATAAACTATAGCACGCTTGTGATTGCTATATTGTAGCCTAAGAGTGAGGTTGTGCTCGCTGTTCCTGTGGCTCTCTGTGGGACGTCTATCAGTCTCGGTGAGGCAAATGGTCTATATGAGTCTTGGTGTCGACTGACCTTTAAAGAGCTGTTATGTGGCCAGCCTTGCTGTGTCGTGGGTCCCTGCAGTGTGATGTCTACCCTCACCTTCCTGTGTGTTTCGTGCGTCCCCCCCCCCCTCCCGTCCTTCCCCCGTTCCCTGTATCTCTCACCCTACCCAGCCACTCCTCCTGTCTTAGGTTGGGGTCATGTGGCGAAAAGATTAGGTACGAGGAGTCTGAGTCTGTGGCTCCGAATGTACGATATCAAGTATGCGTCTCTGAGGGAAGAATTAAGTTAAGAGAGAAAAACAAAAGGTGGAAAACATTGAAAGCAACGAGTAATTCAAAGTTTGAAACTTGAGGGTCTATAATGGGCTTGGTTCTCCCAATTGTCACCAGTACGTCCATCGGATAAGCGTGTAATCGGCACTTCTGCGTTCAGACAGTCCTATGGGGGGTTCTGTGGACGCGGCCTTCTCAGCGCTGCTGCCATCCCAGGGCTTCTCTCCTGTTCAATGTTACCGCTGGTGACACTTGGGGCGTTGTTTCTCCCTTGTCCAGGGGGTATGGGTTGTTGGAGTCGGAGCTCCTGCAGAAAGTTCTTTGGGTCCTCCTCTGCCGATAGCGAGAGAACTCTGTCTCCGTGTGGGACTACTAGGGTGCCCAAGACGCCCCATCGATATCTGATGCCAAGATCTCTCAACTGCCGGGTGATTGGCAGAAACCTTCTTCTTTCAAGCAGGGTTGTAAATGGTAGGTCATCAAATACCTTGACCTGGATGTTATCCACGGTGGTGGTAGGCTCTTTCCTTGAGTGGGACATGATAGCCGCTTTAACTGAAATGTCCCGGGTTATGGCTATAATGTCCCTGGGTGCGTCAGCCGGAGCGGCTATGGCCTTCCGGATCCTGAATGCCGCTGTGATGGGCCATGTTTCGCCAATTTTCTTAGCACCCATAGCGATCGCCATTTTGTTGGTGAACTCCAGCAAGGCTTCTGGGCCTACAGTTTCTGGTGCTCCGCGGATGCGGACGTTTCTCTTACGGTGTCTAGCCTCCATTGCGGTCACAGTGCGTGTAAGTCGTAGGAGTTGTTGAGACAGGGAGGTCACCTGGGTTTGGGTCTCTATGAGTAGTGTGTCTCTATCCCCTTCCCGGTTCTCCACCGCTCCAAGACGTGTTGCAGTTCAGTTCGCACCTCTTCCAGGTCTGACTTCCACACCCTCCTTAAATCAAGCAGTAACTTTTTAATATCGCCTTTTGTGGAGGGCGAGTCGTCGGAGTCAGAGTCTTCTGTCCGGTACACCATATTGGCGGTCGGAGGGGGGTCCTCTGCCGAACTTGGGAATTTTTTAAACAAAACAAATTCTGAGGTTAATACTGAGATGTTAGGATTCACATTTTGAATTAATTTATGAACGTCTTTCCAATATTTTGTTAACTTTGGACAATACCAGAGAATATATGAAATAGGACCAACGAAGGCACAAGTTCTTTGGCATTGATCCGAAAAATGTGTGCTCATTTTTTTCATTCTATATGGTGCCAAATGCCATCTGTATATTATTTTAAGGTGGTTTTCCCAGTGATTGGAACACTGCGTTATTCCTTTTAGAGTAGGAATGAAACTGAGCCATTCCTCCAGGTTGCTCCGGGCCCCTAGATCTTTCTCCCAAGCTAGCATAAAATCTGCTTATAGCTTGGGACTAGGCATCAATTATTTATAACATTGTGTAATAGTGCCACTTCTACTAGGATTATATAGATATGATTTTTCCAAAGCAGTTAGTGCTATTTTTTTTATCAATTTAATCCAAGTTAGGAATAGAATTGTTTTCTGTCAATTTATTAAGAATTAATTTTTATTCTTTCTGTAGATTTTCAGGTAGGCCAAAGTTTTTCTTTCAATTTTCTAAAAGACATCAAAGAATTGCTCTGAAAGAAAGGATCTACATATTGAATTAAATATGAATGCTAATATTCAAAATCTATTTGAGGAAAATTATATTTTAGAATAGATAGCGGCATTGCCCGTGACCACCCAGAGGAAGGACTTTAAACACAGTGTCCCAAGCTCTGATAATACTTTTTGTTGTAGGGAACACTTGTAAAACTTTTAGTTCAATTTGTTTAAAATGTTTTGCTTCTCTAAATATAAATCTTGGTTTATCCCCTATAAAGAATGGATATCTTGATCTTCTTTTAAGATATGCCAATTTCTATGGATAACTTTACGTAAATAAAAATTCTTGGAACTAAAATCAAAAATCAGGGGAATCTCTTTTTTTCTTCTTTCTGTTAACTAATATAAAAAAATCAGGGGAATCTCCTTTTTTAGCTAGAATCAAAAAATTATAATTGTAAATTAAATTTGTTTATTGCAAATTATACCACAACTACCATCATAAAGCTCACAATGCAGCAGCATACAGGCCATGACACTGCAAACCTCTGAATCTTGTGGGAGTCCCAGTTTTGGTATCAGGGTCAGTGCCTCTGGCAGGTCATGGACGATGTGTCTCTTTTCCCTTTTAAGACCGTGAGTGAGAGGGTCAAGTTCCAACGATATTGCATGCCTTGTTGCTGGAGAAGTGAGGTAAAAGGCTTAAGGGTTCTTCGCCATGCCAGGGTGCACCCAGACAGGTCAGCAAAGAAGGAGAATGACATCGATTTGACTTTGTAAGATGTGTGGTTCTTGACCACTGCTAGCAACACTGCTTTATCTGTCCGCTGTTGGAAGCAAATTTTGAGGTCTCAAGGTGCTGTGGCTAGGGGCTGTGGCCAGATTTGTGACTCGAAAAAGGCCATCTAGGCATATCGCCTAGACATGCCACAATGTCAATAGCATCACCAGGAGCCAACGTAAAAATATGCCAATTCGGCTGCTGGGATGTCTTCTGATATGCCTCATACGTTAAGATTGTTTGTGCGACGTGCATCTTCCAGGGACGCAAATCGTCGGTCATGCACTTTGGTCCGACGTTGTAGCCCCTGGACCACTTGCTGCAAGGAGGCGATTAGCTTTGTACGCTTACGAGGTGGCCTTCAGTGATCCCATTCATCCTGCCAGGCCCTGGATTTCGGGGTTAGTGCTATTTCTTTATAAGTTTGATCTAATTTAGGAATAGAAATTTTTTCTGTCAATTTAGTAATAATTAATTTGTATTATATCTGTAGATTATCAGGTAGGCCAAATTTTTCTTTCAATTTTCCAATAGACATCAAAGAATTGCTCTAAAAGAAAGCATCTGCATCTTAAATTAAATATGAATGTCAATGTTCAAAATCAATTTGAGGAAATTAATTTTTAGAATAGATAGCGGCATTGCCCGTGACCACCCGGAGGAAGGACCCACATCTTTCAACACAGTGCCCCAAGCTCTGATAGTACTTTTTGTTGTAGAGAAAATTTATCAAACTTTTAGTTAAATTTCTTTAAAATGTTTTGCTTCTCTAAAAATAAATCTTGGTTTATCCCCTAGAAAAGAATGGATAACTTGATCCTCTTTTAAGATCCGACAATTTCTATGTATAAGCTTACGCAAATAAAAATTCATGGAACTAAAATAAAAAATCAGAGGAATCTCCTTTTTCTTCTTTCTGTTAACTAATATCTAAATCAGGAGAATCTCCTTTTTTTAGCTAGAATCAAAAATAATAATTGAAAATGAAATTTGTTTCTTGCAAATTAATTTTATTTACAAATTATGCTATAACTACCAATATAGAGCTCACAACGCAGCAGCATAGGGAGCCATGACACTGCAAGCCTCGGAATGCTGAATACAGAGACTGGCTCTCTGTATCCAGCGCTGCAAGTCCACCCTTCAATATAACTAGAGCACCTTATAAAGACACACTGTTTATTCTCTTTGGGTGTTAGTGGGGGCCTCACGTTTGAGTTTCACCTAAGGCCTCAAAAAGGCTAGAGCCGCCACTGCCTCAGACGAACAACTCATGACATATTACCGTGTCATGATTTATTTAAGAAAAATAAAGCCAAAATGGAGAAGCCATGTGTGAAAAACTAAGCACACCTTATGATTCTATACATTGTAGAACCACCTTAAGCAGCAATATGACCCAATCTCAGCCCAGTTTTAACTGTTTTACAGATGGCCTCATATTTCACTCTCAAATACTTTGGTATGCAGAGGACTCCATGTTCAACTTAATGACTGGAAGGTTCCCAGGTGATGTGGCTGCAAAACAAGTCCAAATCATCACCCCTCCACCACCGTGCTGAACAGTTGGTATGAGCTTGTGCTGATATTGGCCAAACATTGCGCTGTACATTATGGCCAAACATCTTCACTTTGGTCTCGTCCTTCCAAAGAACATTGTTCCAGAAGTCTTGTGATTTGTTCAGATGCACCTTTGCAAACCTTAGCCGTGCTTCCATATTCTTTTTAGAGAGAAGGGGCTTTCTCCTGACAACCCTTCCAAACAAACCATACACGTTCAGTCTTTTTTTAACTGTACTGTCATGAATTTTAACATTTAACATTCAATAAAGTTGTTTTCCTGGCAAAATAGCTCCCTATAGTATCCCTTCTCTCTCTCTCTCTCTCTCTCTCTCTCTCTCTATATATATATAGTTTTTATTATCTTTTTATTGTCCTGATGAATGGTTCTAAAGTGAACTGAAACATCAACATTTTTCTCATGAGTTAGAAGCATAATAAAGCAGAGGAACCCAAATCGGACACTCGACTAAGCAAACACCGCTGAGACCTCCAGACTTCCATAGCTTCGTGCGGAAACAACCGAACGAGCCGCCGTTCGGTAGAAAGACTCATCCGAACAAGGGGATTCACATGAAGGCAAGCAACAGCCATTTCATTCAGTATTTTCATCCGTTTATACCCACGAACCAAGGCCAAAACTTATGGAACTATTCGGCTACTGTTACCTGTGCGGTCGGTCAAAACTTTACTCTTCCCCATTGAGCTCACTCAGAAAGAGTGGAACACCATATCTATAACACCCAAAACCCTCCTCAAATCAGCACCGTTACTGGAACAGAACAAAAAAATGATTTACAGATGGTACATGGTCCCGGAGCGGCTTCATAAAATGTTCCCCGCCACTCCATCTACCTGCTGGAGATGTCGGGAGCACACTGGATCAGTTTTACATATATGGTGGACGTGCCTACTGATAAAACCCTTCTGGGAAGCAGTGCACTCCTTTTTACAAGACCTTACGAAACTTAAGCTGCCCCACGATCCACTCACGTGCCTGCTACTGCACACTCCCCCCCACACTCCTAAGTATCTCCAAAAACTAATTTTCCACACAACACTGACGGCTCAATGCCTTATAGCACGGGCCTGGAAATCTCCAACCATTCCTACGATACAAAACGTACTCTCAGAAATGGATGAGCAGAGGCTCTATGAGCGTTGCTTCACGAATATATGCCCACCCACTCACATAGGGACAATGGCATGGGATGCATGGGACGCGTGGAGATTGGCACACCCTGAGTAGGGTGACTCATTCCTGTACCATAGCAACATGTATGCAATGTACTGACCCACTGTGTCCGCAAAGCAGGCGAGCATCGAATTAGGCTACGCTTGGGGAAGTAACATTCCAAGCTGTACAGAACTCTCCGGCCTACGTATGGACACATTGACTAGAATTATATTAAGCAACAAAGTGCG